TCCTCATTTTGGTCACCAGGGGCTTGCTGTTTGGAGTTGTCCTTGAACAAAATCTAAGAACACAAAGATATTGCTGGTAAATTGAATGAAAACTATATATTCAAAGTAAAGACTTAAAAGATTAGTCATTGTTCAGACTTACTGCTGGAACTATAGTTCGAAGGTCAGTCAGGTTTTCATGGAACGTTCTCGTGTCCTCATCTTCCCACAAAGATGTCTCGAAATCAAAATCAGAGGAAGACTTCATACCGCCAAACATTCCAATCAAATCATTTTCCCGTTCTTCTCGTAATTTCTCTAAAATTTCACAAAGAGAGTACACCGTTACTATGTGTTTACTGTGTAATATAAGTATATAAATTTTGTTCTTGAATGGGTTCAGATGTGAATCATTAACTGTCTATCTTTATATGATGAACTAAATGTGTGTAATACAGTTATATACAGCATAAACTACCTGACCCTCTCACTGTTGATGAAAAATCTGTAATAATTTTGATCTAGTTAATAACAATAATTTTCTTCCCTCTTAAACCTAATAATTTCCCCATAGCCTATAAAAAAACACAATTGTTTACCATCTTCTGGAAGATCTGGCATTTCTAGATCAAGTAAATCCTGAAGAAAAAAAAAATGTATGTACTGCATTTTGCAAATATTTAAACAAAACAGTATTACTTTACCCTAATAACAATGTACCATTTAACTAAACCTTCCCCCTTGAATAATGTTGATAACGTCCAACAAAACGACCTACAATGCACAAATGTAAACTTGTATTTGTGGGACATATGCACATTACTCTTGGCACCACTTTTGAAAGGTACATTAAGTCAAAGTTGCTAATGCTATTAATTTCATAAATGATACAAATATGACTGATAACACTTACTGACAAATTGGTCGTATTCACCAATAATTTCTGGTAGATGACCTGTGTTTCCTCAATATTTCTCTTCCTTTCTTCACTAAGTTCACCTTTTGTCTATAAAGCACATAATATTGTGGTAGCGATGATGAAATAATCACAGCTCATTATATTCTAACTATGATGTCATACTAAATAACTTCTGTAAACAATACACACAACACAATAATAGAATATTCACTTCTTAAAATTTAATGTTTGATCATTGTTTGTTAGTAATGAGATAAGAGGACATTTTTAAGTGTTCTGTGGATTTATTTTTCTTTATACGTGTATCCCATCATTTTTATTTCCTTGATGTTGTAACAACACCTAGCAAATTCTACATTTGTAGAGGCATTATATCCACTGTTTGTTGTTTTGCACAAAACAGCAGTGTCCAATCAAGATGAATGTCAGTCAATCAATTAATCAATCAATGTTGTTTCACATCAACATTCTAGTTGATATTGTGATTGATAGCCATCAGCATACCATAATTTGCATTCAATCATTCTTTTAAGCATAGTCTTTTCATTTTCTCTATTTTTTTTTGGATATCATCATTATTTGTCTATATGTTGGCTGTAACAACTGGTTTTTTTCTTATTATTTGGAAATCACACATCAATCGTACAGTGTGCAATCCAATCCAAAAAACTTGGAGTATTCAATTGTGATGCAGAGTGTTATTTCTAGTGTAATGTCATAAAACAAGCAACTTGCATAGATCCATAGCACCTACCACATATATATTATATTGTCGATATTTTGATGATGATTTTTGTAATTTGTTTTTGGGCAGAAAATAAAAACACACATGGACTGACTACTTTTTCAATCAAAAATTATATCACAAAGAAAGTGTAATAATTACAAATGTATATGAGGTTTTTACATTAAACATCTGATTTCAGTACCAAAAATCTTATTTTGTTCCCTCACCTGTAATATTTTTCTATTCTGTCTTTCACGGTTCTGTAGATCTTTGTGTTGTCTGACCAGATGTTTGGCCAGTATAGCATAATGGTCCTTCAGAAGGTTTCGGTACAAAGACTTCACTTGACTTGAGAATACTTCACTTGTGGGTAGCTTCAGGCCAAACTTTTCAACCAACGTTCTGTGTTAAGAATCACAAAAAATCAGTAATTAAATGACATCAATCAAACATTAGGCCTAAAACAAATCCTGTTGAAAATTTATCTTCTTAAGTTTTTGTAAACATTGCTGAAATTGGAGAAATGATGATGATGATACAATCAATCAATTCCTTTTATTTCAGACAATGTCCACATCAAATAAGATATACAAAACAAACAAGATTGAATTGAGAAGAGAAATAAACTACCATCTTACACCGAAACATTTGTCTCAGGCTTACACCAACTTGCAAATACACAATGTTGGATTTTGTGGTTGTGGATTTATCAAGATTTATTTGTGAAAAAGTTAATATGAAATGAATTTGAATGGTGTGTGATTCAAACCTGTTTTTTCTGGGCACCAGACCAGCAAAATCTTCTCCGCAATGTTTTACAAAACTAATGATGATTGAGATGTTGGCATGGTTTTCACGATCAGATTTCAAGATTGATGAGAGTAGTATGTTTAGCACTGGTAACCCTTCTTTATCTGTGAATACTCCATGGACTATCAACTAGGAAGAAGAACAGCTAAATTAATAATACAAATAAATGAATAATAAGAGTGGTCGAATAGGAACGTGATGTTATAATTATACCAAGCATAGCCCTTAAAGGCAGTAAAACTTAATTTGTATATTTAATCTAAGAGTATCAATATGCATCATCACTGGTCAAAAAACATAGTTGAAATCCAGGAACCTAGAACTGAACCCACAACACTAGAATTGAACCCAAGAATAATAATAGTTCATAATAGTTGGACTTGCATAGCGAATTATGCAAAAGAGCCTCTATGCCCTTACGTGATTCGTTTGAGAAATTTAAAATGAAACTATACTAGAGTAGAAACTAGGAATCGCAATTGAGCACAGGAACTTATGTATTTATTACTGATCTTACCTCAGCAAGAAGACGTATCTCCACCCTCACCTTGCTGTCAAATACAATCTAAAAAGAAAAAAACAAAAAACGAACAATACAGCTATGTTCAAATTTGACTAACAACAATTACAACAACAATACTACTACTGATGTTAATGACAATGATAATAACAATAATAAAGGTAATACTAACAATAATAATAATAAAAAAAATATTAATAATATCAATCATAATAATACTGGTAATAATACTAATACCAATAATAATACAGTAATAACAACAAAAACAATTCTCAGAATGATAATGATAGTACTCATAATAAAACATTTGCGCATTTGTGTTACACATTTTAACATCTTTTGGTACAGTATTATAGAGACTGAGATTAACTTCACTGTATGCTCTTACAGACAAAATATTAAAATAAACTGGTTGGGAAATGCTCAAGTTTATCATACCGGTTGGGAATCCTTCTCTTCTTTCTTGGGTGTCTGCGGTATGTTCTTCTGAAAGTTCTGAAGAAGCTGCGGAGCAAAGTCTGCAAAGCGTTGATGTAAAATAGATGAAATGCTGATAGCCAAGGGAACATCAGACATCTTCAATTTGGCCTCATAGATACCACTTGCAACTTCTCCAATGTACTTAGTGAGATTTAATGATTTTAAGTCATTGACTAAAGAATCTCGATTATGATCTCCCATCATCTTCTGCAAAATGAAAATTACGAAAATCAGTGTGAAATAACGTAGTACATAAAATTTACAGGGTAGCTAGTGGCTCATTTGACACCTCACATATAAATAAAAAAATAATAATATACAGTAAAACGTCCAATTTACGAACATCGATTTTAGGAATAGTCGATTTTACAAATGGTCTTTGCCCCTGATGACCAATTATTACCGTAAGTCCAATTGCGCACATTTTACAAAGTGATAATGTATATTTTCCTTAATAAAATCAAGTTTATTGTATTTATTTATTAATAGTTTGATTTTACTTCATTTCTCGTATAATAATCACTATATTAATGTAATAAACCTAACCAGAACAACAAACTACCAACACAAATGTTGTTGAATTGAGCACACATGTTTACGTTCACGAATAAGAGTGTTGGGGTCAGCAACTTATTGACATCGTGAATGCTAGATATGATCGCGAAATGCATGTAAACAACACAATTCGGCGATCTAACAACTAGAAAGAATACAATAGAAAGGGCCATAAAACATACAGATGTTTGAATAAGAGTTAAAATAATATTTTGTTAGTGGAAGAATGCCAGCGATTAAAATAATTTGGTTTTTATCGAAGGTAAATTCAGCTAGGCTCTAGCGCGGTAGGCCACGCTGCTAAACTGTCGGTTCATGCTAGGCCTGGCCGCCGTCAGCCTATCGGCGCTCAATGGCAGGGGATAGCTAGGACTAAGTATTGGAAACTGACACCCGATCTAGTTTAAAAATCATTCAATTTACGAACACCCCTTGGTACGTAAAATGGACGTTTTACTGTATATCTACGCTTCAAAGACTGAGAAACTCCAAACCAGCACCCAAACCGCAGTATGGGTTTCATATATAACACCTCAGTCTTAACGGCGTTACAACAAAGCGTACTGATGGACAGTACGCTTTGTTGTACTGTCCATCAGTACGCTTTGTTGTAACGCCGTTACAACAAAGCGTACTGATGGACAGCCATGATTGAACATCATCTATACATGCCTCTAGGCTGTCACGTGGATAGCATCCGTTACTTTCTCAGGACTGAAAGATGTGTAGAGTTAAGCGTCATTAGCATAGATGTGGTATTTAATTGAGTGATTTGAATGAGGTTTCCAAGAGGATGCACACATAAGAACAATATGGGTCCTAAAGTAGAGCATTGTGGAACACCAAAATCGACTGCTACTGGATCAGAGATAGCAGATTTAACTCTAACTACATAGCACACAATAATCACAATGATGTATCCTACTAGTTTCTTGATGAAAGCAGTGTTCTTCTTCAGACTTGAATCCAACTTGTGGAACGAATCCTCATCTGGACGCTTACCTGTTAATGGCAAATTAAAAAAAAAACTATAAAATAATCATTCAATAACATTTGGCTTTCATTGAAAAATAACAGATAACATATTATTAACAGACAGAAGCAATTTGATAAATACAAAAATTAAAAATAATAGTACAGTATACATAAAATAATTATTACTCTGCTGTACATGTAGTAAAAAATTAAAAACATACCTGGTGCTCTTAAGTTTTCATCTCTCATTTTCATTTTATATGCAATCCTATCTTTAACTTCAGCTTCAATTTCTTTAGCATGTTTCTGAAAATAGGGTGACCCATCTCAAATTTGAAGAATTGAATAAAACTATATAGGGCAGGTGTTGTTATTGATATGGCCCCATGATAAAATACAGTATCAAAGAGGTTGCTTTCCTCACTATTATAAGGCAGGGATTTCTAATTAATGCTTGTTAATGATAAAAAAAAAGAAAAAAGAAAAAAAAAAGAAAACAGTCAGATTAACACAAGGTCTTATCATCAAATTACAGTATCAGATGTATTTTTACCCTTGCAATTCTGTGACCCCAGAAATTGCAATTTGGAGTATTAAGTTTTTATTTTACCAAAGCATTGCCATAATAAAATGTTTTGTGTAAAAACCACTATCAGTAACTAGGCTATTATTTTATAATTAGGCTTATAATTTAATAATTAGTAATTATAGTAATATGAAATAACTTTTATATTTTTGAAAAATAATAAAATATTAAAATTTTATAAAGAAACAAATCTTCAGTAAAGATGATAAATTGGGTTTTTTTTTTAAAGATAAAACATACTGCCTCATAAGGATAAATAATAAAACAAATTTATTGGAGAAATTAGGACTGTAAAAGCTTTTGAGATTCAGGACCAAAAGATCCTACAAACATTCTTTGATATAAAGAACAAGTTGAAAACAAAATTAGTAAAAATAAATATTAACATACTTCCTCCTCTTCTTCTCTCTGTTTTGCTTCTTCCTGTTCTTTCAGTTTTGCATCTAAATCTTCTTGCTCCTAAAAAACATATTCACAGTTCATTGATATGCCGGGCCCATGACCTTTACTACTGATCATTGTTCCTACACTTGTATCTTCCTTCCTATCCTATATTCTTTTTTATAGTAGGCAAATAACTGGCTTTACCAGCTAAGTATTTACAAGACAGGTAGACTATGATTTTCCCAGTTTTTAATTGTTTTATTGTTCTTGATTTATGTTTAGCAACTGCTAATTATAAATGCATGGTAGATATGAAAGTATAATACATACTCCAAGTATTGAAATACACGCCATCGTGTTGGGATTCAATATTTCGACATTTTATGAATCCCAACACGATGGCGTGTATTTCAATACTTGGAGTATGTATTATACTTTCTTATCTGAGATTAATCAGTGGACCTTTCGGTTTATGGTAAATATAATATTTAGAATGCATATTAAAGTTATATGAAGCTGCTAAAAATAATGTTTAATATTTCAAAATAGTTTCAATCATTTTAAACACAGTGCAAATATATTCTAAAAAATATATAATTATATAGGTATGCATTTATACGCAAATGTTCATGAGATGTCCACACTATTATATTTTATTTGACAAATAAACGTGATATGCCCGTATTTGGAGGTAACGTATCATCATGTCCATATATGGGCACACCCCCACCAATTTGTTACATACAATTTAGCAGTGTGGACAGACTTTAAAAAATGCTTATGCAATTGACTGTTGGAAATATCTACTGTACATGATGGCAAACTTACTAATTTTGTCCATAAATTTGATTAAAATGCAAAATCCTACCTTTTTTTCTTCCTTCAACTTGGACTGACTTGCAATATCTGGTTCTGTAGAGGGCTCAATAATGTTCTTTTCCTTGTCTACTTTTTTCCCAATAACTGTAACCTCAGATTTGTTTGTAGCTCCTTTAAGTAATTGTTCCTTATCATTGTCACTTTTCTTCTGTACCTTATCATCTTGCTTAAAAAAATCTTTTCTTCTACTATCACTTCTCTGATTGTCTTTATAGCTTCCTCGTTTATGTTCTTCACTCTCACTTTTTCTATTCCTATCTCTCACATAATTTCTTTGAGGGCTTTTATCTTTTCTTTCAACCCTTTTATTCCTGTCATCATTAACTGGCTTTGTACACAAAGCCCCTTTGTCAGCATCTCCTCTAGCCCGTGCTTTTTCATCTTCTCTCCGTGCTCCTCGACTACCACGTGCAGGTCTCTCTGAGCGCTGTGCCGAGTAGCTCTTGGGACTTTTAGCTTTGGTCTCTAGGTTTTGAGAAACCAGGCCTTGGTCTTCACTACTAACTTTTTGTACCTCTGGTAAGCTTCTCGGCACAATGACTGTTCTTGTCTCTATTACCGTTTTCTGATTTGCCTGAAACTTTGCATTGTTGTTTGCATTTAGTGTTTCAGGTGAACTTGATGACGGTGGAGAAGGTTCTTCACTAACTGAGCTTATTCCTGAAGGAGTCACCGGTGTTAAACTGTCTTGTGGAATATATATCATAGCGCCTCCATCTTCATTTTGAATCTTCTCATCTAATTTTATAAAACCTTTAAGTTCCAAATCTGATGTTAGCTCATCTTTCTCCACTAATTTTGAAACATCATCTTTTGTTCCATCTTCATCCTCATTTTGATCATTTATTAAATAATTTTCCTTCATGATTTCATAAGTCAAATTAGTTTCGTTTTTAACCACATTCTCCTCCGTGGTATCCTCTCCTTTCTGGAGTTCATTCACAACAGTTTCATCGTTTTCTCCCATCACATGACATTTACTCGCAAAGATGTCTCTCTCACTTGCACATGTTGTTTTGTCAGCAATTGCTGAGTTCACATTCCCTTTGACTTCAGGTTCTATCTCTTCTACTTCATAATTCAATTTATGTTCATTTACATCATGGTGGTGTAGATTTTGTTCTACATCTGCTTTTCTCTCTTTTTCTTGCTCCATATCTCCAATTGAATGATCAATTTCTTTCTCTTTGCAGTCTATTTTCTCCTCTGTATTTTCCATTTTCCTCTGTGTCAAATACTATCTGCAGAGAACAATTGGAAGCTATATAAAAACCAAATAAAAGAGGGGATATTCTTCCGATATGCCATTGTGCATTAAAATAGCAAACCTTGGATTTATGCAAAGTTGCTGGATCAACAACCAAATAACCACAGCCTAACATAACTCTGGTTACATGTTGTACTTAGTCTGTCAAGTAGTTCTTATTATTCTACTGTGTTCCAACCATACCACTACAAACACTGATGGTAACACTGACAATGTACAAGCAACAACAATGTCCAATGAGTGGTACCAGGTGGTGTTAAGGACCCAGTGCCAGTGGTAATCACAAATAAAACAAAAACAAATTCCAACAAAATTTTAAAATTAGTAAAATGTATAAATAAATGTACTACCTAGCATAGCTAGGGCAGTATTTTCAAATGGTGACTTCTCTAGTGGTGGTAGGACTAACCTTATTTTTATTTTAGGCCTACTGTAAGTGGCTACATAGTACAGGCCCAGCCTTGCTACTAACTTAGTAACTATTACTAGTCTAGGCCTAGCCTATGCCTACTGAGTACTACTGGCGACTTGGCTTACGCTAGGTCCTAGGAAACGCAGATAGTATTAGCTTAATCTCGGGCAGGCTTAGGACTCTTTGAGACAAAGCATTATCCTATATCAATAATTCTGATCAACATACAAGTTAATATTAACATTTACCCATCGGCATATAAGAATAAATTCATATTTCTTACCATAATACTATTTTAGCTACTCACAACCAAAGATCATAACCAGTTAGGGCGCCACCAGCGTTTCAACCAGGTCCAATATTGGCACATATACAGAGATAATAATTAGCTCTCTATGTATTGG